ATAAAACGGTTTTTCAAACTATTTGTTATTTCTCCCGTACAATGAAACGCGTGAACCCAAAACTATTTTTTCTTGAATAAGGTCACTAAAAGGGATGTTTTGGCAAAAGAAAAAAAAATTCAATTTTTTTACGAGTGTCTTGCGATTTTCGATTTTCTCGGAAAATGGCTCTTAATTTTTTGGAAAACTTTCTCACGTTAAAGAGACAAGTAGTGTTCACATCATAACATAAGTAATAAATGATCATAAAGAAAACTTTTTAAATAAATCGTTGATAACGGCTGTTTTGTATTTAAGTGTTCATATCTCAATAAAACTGAATTTAAATCGACTCTTGTCCCTAAGCTTAAACCAAGAAGATTTGAAAATATAGGGAAGTTATTCAATGCTTCTCTACTAGAGACATCGGGTGCCTTTTCTTTTAGGATAAAAAAGTTTACTGTGGTGGCCTGATTTTTATTACCTTCCGGCAAACATAGTTTTTCTAACGGATAAGGATGCAGAAAAAGTTGAAAACGTAAATTGACCACCTTAAAGAGTTTCAAGGTTGACGTTTCGAGCATTAGCCCTTCGTGAGAGCGAAGAACACAAATTACCTTGTTTAACTCAATACAGTTTTTACGTGACAGAATCTAAGGTTTCCAGCAACTACACTTGTAATATTCATAAGCCTCCACGCCTGAAAAAGAGGTCAACCGAAAAGAAAACACCGTGGGAGAGATCGCCAAAAGTCGACAGATTCGATAGTCTATATGCATGCCCAGATACCGATCTTGGCGAAGTTCTAGTCCATTACGTAATGTTTTGCGACAAAGAAAATAGGCATCTTTAGAGTAAGATTTATCGCGTTTGTTTCGGTATTAATTTCTCAAGATTTGCTTGACCGCTAAACATGTTTTTGCCCTTCCTAGTGCCTGTTGATAAAATTAAAAAAATCGCCAAATTTGAGACAGATGAAGAAAACACAAATTGCAAATAGCGAGAAAATGCCGATTTTTTTCCCTGAAGGACGATTTTCTCAAATTTGTGAATTTGCCTGCTTCAGTATTTAATAGCCTGTAAAACAAGTTCGATGAGGTTCGACTATGGCTATCTACTAATACATTCGACATTTTGACAATACAAGAGACTAAAATCGACTCAACTTTTCCTAGCTCACAATTTCATGTCGAAGGTTTTAACTTTTATCGTCGCGACAGAGTCAAAGGCGGCGGTGGCATTGTAGTATACATCAGAGACAATATAGCCGCTTCACGGAAGAAATTGAGAGGAAAATGCGTCGAATCAATGTTGTTTGACATGAAAATCGGACAACGACAGTTTGCATATATTACTGCCTATAAGCCTCCATCTGTTGACAACAACACATTCAAACGCGAACTCTGCGATCTTCTGGACGAAGTAAACAGCCTTTCTGACAATGTGATTTTTACCGGAGACTTAAATTCGGACATCCTCCACCCACTTGATAATCACAAAGAGGGTCAGTGTTTACTGGATAATCACAAAGAGGGTCAGTGTTTACTGGATATGTGTGACATTTATGACCTTGACAGCCTTATTAATGTTCCTACGAGGATCAGTAAAAACAGGGAATCCTGTCTCGACGTTATTCTTACTAACGTCCCCGCGTTTGCCAAAGACTCGGGTGTCACTCATACGGGTCTAAGCGACCATGATCTCGTATATACGGTTCTGAAAACCCGACACATGTGATCAAAAGCAGAAACCATAACTAAAGGATCCTTTAAAACTTTTGATAAGGATTCATTTCAAGCTGATTTATCAACAAGAATACAAGCGGATGAGATCTGGAGCAGAATGCAAAATTACCTATAACTCTTGTATTTTTCATCGCAAACTTTGATTAAATTGGGTATATCTGATGGGTTTCACTATTTGCAGGAAATCGAGAGTTTTTGACGCACTGTAATTTCTGCTGCTAGTAAATCTTGACTTTACGCGAAGGAACAAAAAGTGTTATAGAATATTATTATTCTCTTTCTCAGTGACAACTATTTAACTTGCACTTTACCAAATTTGTAAAAAACAGAACCATCTCAAGTGTTAGAGCCATAGTTCTTATTAAATTTTTCTGTTGAATTAAGCTTTTCTTTTGCAGTTAAGTGCCCCAGAGCACAGTACACAGTGAAGTGTTGGTAATTAAGATTTAATTTTCTTTGGGTGGTTTGGGTGGTCTTTCCGGTGGTCAGTGTGCTGGACTCTGGGTCGGACGTCGCTGGTTCAAGTCCTGGCTGGGGCATGACGTAGTGTCCTTAAGCAAGACGCTTCACTCACATTGCTTCGTCTAAAACCGTAGGCCCCGTCTCCTGCAGGGTTGGGGTATGAGACGTTAATTTCCCACGCACGAGATTACTGTGTGGTGGATTTCCTCCCCTGGGGTGGGATGGGTGGTTAATATTTATTGGGGTTGTATATCAATTGGGATATCGTCCTGTTTTCTTCTCCACTTGCCGACACTATTCTGTACGTGTAACAAATTTCAATAAAGTAAAGTAAAGCCAGAGACTAAAACATCCCCATATAGTCCCTCTAGACTCTGAACAGCAGATTTAAAAATTAAAAATTAAGCGAAAGGAACCAAATAACTTTTACAGTAAAAATAAGTGTATAGTTCTTCTGCGCAAACAACTAAAAGCCGACAAAAGGCAAAAACCTCGATATTAACCGTTCGCTAAAGACACCTTAGTTTCGTCGGGTGAACATCTAAGAGCTTGCTCCTTCGCGATTCGTTGAGTGGAAAGCCACATCAGTCACAGAAACCGAGTTTTACGGCACTGTCATCCCGAGCTGAATCTTCATGTTCCTCTGAATTCGGCTTTTCACAAAACACACGCTTTGAGTAGTTAAATTGTCAAGTGAAAAACCTTGCGTGTTTTATGAGCCACAATTCGGCCGAATTTCACTGAACATTTCACTTTCAGATTCTTTGCGACTTAAAGACCTCAAGTAAATTTGCCAAATACGACCGGCCGAACTATTTCAGTTGGTGAACTCAGTATTGCAGATTGTGAACTTTGTACATTTTTGATAGCTTTAGTGTTGTTCAACCAATCAGATTATCTGAAACATTCAAACATGGATTCTGATTAGCTTATGATAGCTTGCTTTATTAGAGTATAGATATTTTGTATTAAAACTTGAAAGAAATGCGCTGAGAATTTAGCGGATTCTTCATTAGAATACAAATAAAGAAGCCTTGAGTGTGCAATGTTCTGTTACAAGGCACGCAGGTAGCGGCTAAAGCACTTGAGAAGTAGGGAGAAACAACAAACCACGTCTCGTGTTTCTTCCTACACTTCTTTCGTGCTCTAGCCACATCCTGCATGCTTTTTAACAGAACAGAGCACACTCAAGGCTTCTCTATTAGTTAATTAAAGAAAAATACTTATAGAATCATTTGTCAGTAGACTAGTTTAAGGGTTTCAAGAGTTTTTCCCGAAAATTTATTATTCTAAATCACCGGTGGTAATTAAACCCTTGTTAACTAATTTATCAAGCGATCAGGGTATGTTCCTTTGTCTGAGTTTATCGTTTTGATAACTTTCGTTCTAGTTTGACGACACTACACTGCAAAATTTCCTAAACGTATTTTACCTTTGACAATGGATATATTTTCCCTTCATCAAAGGAACAGTTGATAGCAGATGAAGAAAACTACTTTCATCGTTCATTTAAGCTTACTTGAATTGATCTATTGTTTTCTAAGCGGCACTTCGTTTTGAGGGCCTCAACGGGGTGATATGGCTTTTACGGCTAACGGTTGAAATTTTGGCCATTTTACGGCTAAAATAATATTCCATTGTTGCCATCGTAATTTTTGAAAGTCAAATTTTTTTACGACCATCGGTTCAAATTTGCCAATTTTTACGACTATCGGTTTAAAATTTGTTGATTTTTCCTACTATCGGTTGAAATTTGTCAATTTCTCCGCCGACCAGCTAAATTTCAACCGTTTTACGGCTATCGGTTAACCCCATCGACTCTCTATTTCCTGTGCTGTCCGATCAAAGTAAATCACTTTAATTGTAACTCCAATATCCCAAATGTTCTGAGTCATTTCCCCTCTAGCATGTCTATTGTTCCATGCATACCAAAGCCTTTTCACTTCAAACAGGCGATTAATGTACCAACAGAGGGGCATGATCTCGTAAGCTTTTGACTTAAGGTGATTTACTTGATTAGGAAAAAAAAGGAGAACAGAGAGGAACATAGCCTTTAATTAGGTGACTGTAACGAATGGCAAAGCTGAAAGCGACGCTCTTTCTTTCTGATGGCATGGCTTTCAACTGTTTGCGCAGCAGAGGCTAAAGACTTTCCTTTACTGAGAAAAGAAAAGCAATTCTTTCTTATTTCGTTTCGTTTTTTCAGCTACTACATTTATTCATCAGATAAAAGAATAACTAACAAAGGATTAGGAGGAAAAACGAATATAAAGATAATTTGCGATAATGGCTCTCTTGAATTCAATAAGACCGTATTTAAGTCGACTGTAAAACGAAAATCTTAGTAATCATTCCCTTTCGCTGAAGTAGCTTGATGTTTTCAGCATCCTTGAACATTAAGCCAGCGGCAGGAAAAAAGATCGTAGCCAGGTTTCGAAACTGAGTTTGAGAGATTCAGGATTAAAAATCATGAGTATTATTTAAGATTTGGGCGTTGTTTGAAGCAATAAGTTGCACTATGTTTATTGAAGATACTTGAAGGAAGACTATGGAGAAAATCCTTTATAGTGATCCTGAAATTGTAAAAGTCCACTGAAAAAAAGCGAAGGCGTTGCACTGCGAACTCGACTGAGTGTTGGTACAGTTTTAACGACAAACATGAAAGTAAGATTATTGTAGAGTTTCAAATCGGAAGGTTGTACATTCTAAGTGTTCTGATGGTCCACGTGATAGCTTTTTTTTTTTTTCCAGGAAACGAGATTGTTGTTGATTTTACTTTTCATTTTTAATGCAGCTAGATGATTATAGATGAGGATGTCTCAAAAGATTTCCCAAGATCCCCTATATCGCTCGAAAGCAGAATCTGTTTTGGAGGTAACTTTCGCTATTCTGGTTTGCCTCGCTTCCGTATTTGGTAATGTGCTGGTTGTTTATGTTTTAAATAAATACTCCGGGATGCAAACCATCACCAACGTTCTTATTCACAATCCTGCACTGACTGATATTATCATGGCGACCCTTAACATGCCGTTCTGGATAACGAGCTTGTACGCGGGAAAATGGAATTTGAGCCAGGAATGGTGTGAAGTTTCTGCAACAGTACATCATACTATAGTTATGGCCTCCTTGCTCACTATGTGCTTAATTGCACTGAACAGGTACATGAAAGTCGTCAAGCGATCCTTGTATATTAAGTTCTTTCCCAGTAAAAGAGCAGCTTGGTTGTACTGTGGTCTTGTCTGGCTGGTTTCTGTGCTATTCGCCACACCTCCGTTGTACGGATGGGGAAAAATGAACTTTGACTCAGATTTAATCATTTGCTCATTCAACTGGAAGGAAGGACACGTTTCCTTTGTCATATTGCTTGCAGGGTTCTTCAACGTGACAATGGTTGCAATATTTTACTCCTATTGGAAAATTTACAAAACGGTGAAAGAGAGCACCGATAATGTCAACGCCAATGTTGTAAAAAATGGCGTCGGCACACCGAAATTACATCGAACTGATATCGATGTTTTGAAGAGTTGTTTCACAGTGGTTTGTTTCTCTTCAATTACATGGTTTCCTGTAGCTTTATGTGCTTTTACAATGGCTGGTGGAGGCTACATTCCACATGAACTGACTAAGGTGACTATGTATTTGTTCTTCTCTAGTAGTGTTGTAAACCCAATCATCTATGGGATAATGAATCCGCAGTTCAAAGAGGCCTTCCGAAAGGCATTTAGATGTGGTCGATATCGCAACGATGATGGAGATCAGAGTCATGCAAGAGTTGCAGCTGTAATGAAACATCCGAGGAGCAGTGAGACTTAATGACTTTTGGCCAGCGGATCTATCACTTAAAGCTTTAGTTCAATACCTTTTGTTTATTTAAGAACTTTTTTTCGGGAATAATGAGAAGATACTGGCTTCGTTCTGTTTCCATGTGTTGTTAGACTTGCCTCGGTCAAGTAAAAGACAAAAACAGAAATTGGATATTATAAAAATATTTATAATTTGCTGTCGAAAGTATCCGCGATTGCACAGGGTTTTCTTTAGTTTGCTCTTGGATTGGTCCAGTAAACTCACACTACCCTCTCGACCAATCAGAGGCAAAAGTAAAACAAACCAAAACGTAGTCACTCGCGTTTTCCCGCACTTTAGACAGTTTGATTTGATTTATTCTGAGTTCTCATTGTTTCTTAGGGCATGATTACATTAGCTCGACCGACCCGGCCCCTTTTAAGTGCCTAAGACACGAACCTTTTTTTCGCTTTTGCTGGTTGATAGCTTTTTTCAAAATAAGAAAAAATCGACCTCAGCGCTTAGCGATTTCTCCTAGACCATTTTCTTGTGCATTAAAAGTACGATTTGGCGGCCAAAAAGTGTTCCCATTAGGCACGCAGCCAAAACACTAAGTTACATAGCTGTGACGTAGAAAACTGTGAAGACATGTCGGCAACTATGGTGGACAAAGGAGAAATCAAGAAGAGAGAAGGAACCTTTTTTCGTGGCCGGAGCGCCAATGATGTAAGCTACATGAATAACACACATACGCCTGGTGTTTCTATACACTACTTTCCAAAGAATGTAGCTGTATGGCCAAAATGGACGCGTTTCGCCCTTCGATACCGAGGAGATTTTACTCTTCAATGTCGTCGGCCTTATGCTCTGTACCGGCTTCGAAGACGCCTGTTTCGAACACACATCACTAGTCAAATGAGGGGAAGATAACCAATGAATTCAGCTGAAAAGAATGCTTATTAAGGCAGGGTTTTTATCAGAAGCCGGGTCCCGGATACCGGCTCCCGTCTACTTTGAACAGAGTACCCGGCCACTTTAAACACGAAATTAAAAAAAAATCGTCAAAAAAGAATTATCAACCTCAACTAAATATTAACTCTTCCCTGTAAGTTTAAAATCTTTTATCTATCAATTACTTGATGCAGGTCGTGGAAATAAAATTTACTTTAACGAGAAAGGCGCTGCGCGATAATTGCATTCTGCTTAGCCATTACATAACTCTTGCCCGTGATGTGCCACACATTTAAAAGCAAGTGCGTTCTGCGGAGTCATCATGGCAAGCAAAAGAAAAACTTAAGGCGTCCTGGATTCTTTTTTGTCATAATTACTAAATTTGTCGATCTTCCTTTTGTCATTCATCTTATCAGACGAGATCACGAAATTTCCGGTCCTTAGCCCTTAACTTAGCAGCATATAGAATTCACGATCGCTCTTGCAATTTTAACGTCTATACCTTTACTATATAAAATAATCAGCAAACGATTTCGAAGAGGAATCCATATTCTCGTATCGAGCAAAAGCACTGCTTTACTTGTAATATGGGAAAGATGGGAAAGCGCAAATATCGATTTTATGTTTCGCAAACAAAGGAGTTAATCACCCACACCGGAAATAGCGACCAGGCATTCCTCGCGACTCCCGTACGTTTGTTTTCCAATTTGCCCGGGCCGCTGCCAATCACTTCTTGTGTAAAAACCTACGTAACCCGCTAGTGGAAGTACAGTGACCACTGTTGCTTACCGATATTTTCCGTCGGCAAAACGCAGAAGTACTGTTCTATTTGGGAAATTTTCTTGTCTGTAGCTTGGATATGTCAGGAGAATTTCATTGACAGCTGGATTACACCTCATGTTGTGAAACCATTTATAAAGACATTGCGCTTCTGCTTCGCTTTTTTTGGGTCTATATATCCGCACTAGCAGACAAATTTAGAAATGTCCCGCCAAAATCAAAGGACAAATTTTGTCATGACAAACTTTTGTTTCCTCTGTTGCATTCGCACTAAAAATGTTGAAGCTGTCAAAAAGTTGTCAAATTCACTAATGGTAGTGTTTACGACATATGATAGACAAGTTTATCACAGTTTTGTTTATTTAGTAGATTTTCCCAAGCTTTTGCCGGGACGAATTTGTCGGCGGTGTGCTTGAAAAATTTGTCCGCCCACAGAAAATTTGTCTATATTAACAATTTTGTCGCTAGTGCGGATAGGCCCATAGTCACATACAAAAAGGGAAACGTGAGGCAACTGAAAGATGATTCACGAGTATCACTTAGCACTGGCACAAGTCGACCAAACAGGCACACGCATGACTTAACAGTGGAAGATGGCGATATTTTCAATAACAATTATAGTCCAGTGTTTAAGTGCCAGTTTCGCATTCGCATGACAAGAATGAAATAAACGCTACGACCCAGCACAAAAATTTTGACATAGTAATAATCGGTCGAAAAACCGCTCAAAACAATTTGTATGATTCAATGAACACTCCATAATTAGTAGTAGTTACTCATACATAAACCTTCCACCCCTCTCTGCGTACTGATAGTTCGTCCTCCACCCCTCCCTCAGTAACAACAGTCTTCCTACCATCCCTCCCTGAATGCTGATAGACTGCATCCCACCGACCCCTAAGTGCTAATGGTAAGCCTCCCCCCCCAAAAAAAATGGTCCAAAAGAAAAGGTAAAAAAATTCCATTCCTGTTTTCGATCCTCCACTAAGATATAAGATATGCGTTGTGCCTGTTAGGTCGACTTGTGCCAGTGCAAAGTGATACCGACGGGTTAGCATGAATCATCTTTCAGTTATCTCACGTTTCCCTTTAGTATGTGACAAAAACAGCAAAGGTAAAGCAGTTCTTTTGCTCGATTCCAAAATATGGATTCCTCTTCGAAATCGTACGCTGATGCGGTAAGGGGACAGAAGACAAACAGTTGGTGGAGGAAGTACCAGGCAGAGGACGAGGAGGAGGCAATGTTAATTGCCATTCAAAAATCACGGGAAATCATAAGGTTAACTGTTGTCTCATTACTGCTTGATATGTTATTTAAGTGCAAATCCAGGGAAGGGCAATCTGTTGGGCTAAGGATGGCTTTTTCAGTCTGTTCATTAAAAAATGACAAGTAGTCTGCTTGTGTAGGTGGATAGTTCAGACGATGAAGAACCCACTTCGGGATTCTGCTGCAAGTACAAAAAGGAGGACAGGCGTGTTCGGGTAAGTATTTTCGGGCTGCGTTTAAAATAACCTGTGCAAGTTGGCACGAACCTTTCAGTGAAATGGCACAAACCATATAGGAAATGTTATGAGCAATTTGCGATGTTATTCGTTGTGATGCAGAAGTAACCGCTGAGTCTCCTGTTCTTGGGGATTGTTTTAATGGTAAAATGTTCTTATCGTTGTCAAAATTTTACTTGACAGAACTTGAATTGTTTAAGTGGAATGTTAACGCGAAAACCAAGGCTTGCGTAGATGGCCAGATCTCACGCTCCGATCACGATCGTGAAAATAAGAGCACGTGAGAAGAATCTATTTTCACGGGCGACAAAAATCAAATTTTTGTCAGGTAATATTTGGAACTTTGAATCCTGAAAATTGAAGTTTGAATCTTTTGCCATTCGACAGCTTACAATGGGCCAATTTTTCCCCATTTAAGCCTGTACTGCTATATTAGTCACGCGCTTCAGTTCATCTGTTAACAATACATTTTTCGGGATCTGGAAGCAGAGGGTTTTGAAGTTAAATTAACTTGGAAAAATATTTGATTGGTAGAAAATCCCGGGCGTGTAATATAAAATGATTTGATTTCTAAAACGCAACATGTATTGTGAAGAGGAGTCCTCAGTTCTCCCTTTAGGTTGTTTCTCGTATAGAGAAGTAGGCCTCTTGCAAAAAGAAAATTGGTCGGGTCCTCCGCTAGTGCTTGTTTCCTGAATTTGACGTCATATTCTCTTATAGCATGATGACAACTGTAACAAGACTACAGGCAAAATACCTCATGAGAAAACCGCTGTGGTTGAGAAAGTAGACTTGACACTCATTGATTCGCCAGTCAAAAGGTAACACTGGTTGCCAATATTATTGGTGCCCTCCTTTACGTTTCCGTACAATATATGTTATTGTCAAGAGAATGGGCTTTTTTGTGCTTGTATTAATCGAAACTCGACGGCCGTTTGCTCGAGCAAGTTTTCCGGTGGCAAATGCGACCCGAACTTTCAATTAACAAAAGTTACAATCAAGAATACTGCTCTCGACTTTCGACTGGAGTATTTAAATTATTTCATACAATTCAAACAATCATACTTAACAATAAATCAGTCGGATTTTTTTTCTTATCAAGGGTGTGTGTGGATATTGAGACGAGCGACAGCGATGAGTGCCTTTTCAAACCAGTCTTTGCATCAGAAAAGTGAGTCACTCAAATATATATACCATAAAATTTCCGTGATAACAGTGGAGTCATTGAACGTGTTTACGAACAATTAACTCTGAAGGGTATATTTTAATTGTCTGATTATTTCAATACGATGTCGGTGAAAGATCACCACACCTTGCACGAAACGTTAGAGAATTTTGCTCTCCCGCTGTGGCGTTTGAGAAACCTATGAAATTCTTTTACTGTCTTCCATAGAGATGTGGCTGAAAAGGTAAATAAGAAAGTGCTGACACACCAGTTGAACGACTCCAGCGATAGCAGTGAAGACGAACAAGGAACTGATTACTTGAACGACGACCCAATGGTTCCCATCTACTGACGGGGATTGCGTAAGGGTTTGGCCTCCAAGAAAGTGGTAGATATCCTCTTCCATCCGCCTCGAGAACTTATTGCACGTGCTGTTCCTTCCGCTATCTCCGAAAATTCTGTCTTTGTGGTGGACATATCTGCCCCACACATAAAGCACTTTAAAAATGTTCTGGCTGACGACCTTGGTGCATGGAATCCAACTGGGACGAAACAGCAATACTACCGTGCTTCCACTAAGAGGAATCCTGTTCGTAAGGCTTCCCAATCAGAATATGATGATCATGAGGCA